CTATTCTGCTCTGTGTCAGTGTGTATCAGGGATCCTTAGGACAGGTGTCAATCCATATCTGCCAAGTGACCCTATGTAGGGGGACCAGTCTCTATTCTGCTCTGTGTCCGTGTGCATCAGGGGCTCTGAGGACAGGTGTCAATCCATATGTCAAGGTGTCAATATGTCATATGTCAGGTGTCAATCCATATTGATTGTGATTTAGGAATGTTAGGTGATTTCTGCCCTTTATGGATTAAAACCAGACTCTGTATCAACTGTGTAATTTTCCATGGGAGTTTTGCCATGGATCCCCCTCCGGCATGCCCCAGTCCAGGTGTTAGTCCCCTTGAAACAACTTTTCCATCCCTATTGTGGCCAGAAAGAGTCCCTGTGTGTTTTAAAATTCGCCTCCCCATTGAAGTCAATGGCGTTTCGGGCGGTTCGCCGGTTCGCGAACATTTGCGGAAGTTCGCCGTTCGCGAACCGAAAATTTCGGGTTCGCGACATCACTAGTTTCATATACATGCTACTACTGACACAGACACCAACCGCACAGCCAAACTTCAAAGGGAAATGGGAGACGGCCCTAAACGGCACATTCAGCGAGACGGAATGGGAAAAAATCTGCTACTTGACACACCATTGCTCTAGTTATAGTAAGACGCAAGAGACAGCGTACAAACTATTAACACACTGGTACCGCACCCCCACAACACTTAATAAGATAACTCTAGACCACTCCCACTGTGCTGGATATGCGGAGAGGCGAGGGGCGTGCCCCAACACATTTGGTGGGAGTGTGGCAAGATTGTCCCATACTGGAAGGGAATACACACAATGTTAAAGCAATTCTCAGATGACCCACTCCCCTTCAGCGCAGCTGAAATGCTATTGCATCATACCAGGGCCCCCCGGACCTTACACAAGAAAACAATGACTATACGCATTCTGAACACGGCCAAATCAATTATCCCACAATACTGGAAACAACCAGTAACTCCACCCGTGGGGACATGGTTCTCACGAATGGAAGAACTGAGCTCCCTTGAAGACCTCCACAATTCCGACAATGGCACACATCAAGCCTACCTCAACATTTGGACACACTGGTTACTAACGACAACAAAACCAGACTTCGCAGACAGACTTCGGATCTAACAACAGAGACAGAATACGACACCTACACACCACAGACCCTGACCGCAGACAGACCAACGACACCCCAACACCACCCTCACCCCCCCCCCCAGAACCCAAGTGAGACGACAGGGACCACCTAGGGACCATAATAGAAAAAGCGTGCAGGGAGATACATAATGCAGAAGACCAACAACTAGACGGATGCGCGAAAACTGTATAGGAACGGGGGGAGCGGGGCCCAAACACTGGGGGAACCCTACCCACCACAGTCCTTGGCACAAGACAGGATAGTGACCAAAAGGGGCACACTGGACAACAAAAATCCCATACAGATCCTGACAGAATGACATGGGACACAACTGGAAAGGGGACAGCACCACAAAGCTAGAAGCACCAAGAAAGACTTACTAGACCCCACAGCAAAGCATAGTAGCTAATGGGAACTGCGAGTCCCACAGGGGCCCAAGGCCTAAGGGTTCACAACCTCACAGTCGCATTCAAATTTGAAGGTCTCCCCCCCCCCCGCCACCAAGAGACGGACTCACGATCCCGGTATAGGCACTAGATAACGGATGAACTCCCTAAAGGTTAGCACAAGAAAAGCCACACACACACATACAAACATGATGAAGGGACCTGCATGTCCGACAACATTGGGGGCCTGCGAGCCCAAACGTATATCACGACCTGCATCTGCTAACAAAAGTTTGAGAATCTTAGAGACCTGCGAGTCTCATTGTTTTTTACAATCACAAATAAATAAAAATCATATTTACAAAAAAAAAAGAAGAGGACAGAAGTGTCAAATTTATAAACACATGCTCAAAACTTCATCATGAAGAATTGAATTCGATTTTTCAATTTATCTTCGAAAATACTCAATGAGAATCACATTAATTTTTTATCCAAATGTCTAATACTTTTTTCCCACTTCAAAACCCAATCACTTTTAAATTGACATAGATTTATTCAAAATGGAGAGAACACTTAATTTACAAGCCATAAAGGACATTGATCACATATTTAACAAACAAGAATAGGTACTGCACAATTTAACTTCAGCAGAAAGAACGGCACTAAAGTATTTAGCCAAAGATAAGGACATTATCATTCCTTCAGCAGACAAGGTAGGGGCCATCATAACACATGATTACGGCATGTATAGAGAAGAAATCCTCAGACTACTTGCTGATATTTCCACGTATAAGAGGATTATTTTTGATCCTACCAACAACATGTTGACCAAATTAAGAAATTTAGTCCAAAGAGGACTTACAACCAATTATCTTAATTAAAATACAGCAATATTTTTGGTGTTGGTGGTTCCGCATCACAAAGTCCCTTTATTATATATCTTACCCAAGGTACATAAGATCCGATTAACCCCCCAGGCAGACTGATTGTGTCTGCTAGGGGAGGTATTTTGGAGCCTTTGGCCAAGTACATTGATCATCATTGCAAGACATCTGTGGCCTCCATTCCTACTTGTTTAAAGGATACCCAAGATTTCTTATCTTTAATACAAAATATTAACCTACCTGACGGACCTATCATTCTATCCACTATTGATGTGAAAAATTTATACACCGTTATTTCCCAAACCGCAGACATTGAAGCTATGCGGAATATATTATTGAGCTCTGATTCATACACTGGACCTCCTGTAGAATTTGTGCTTGAATGTTTGAAATTTACATTGTACAATAATTACTTTAGTTTCGAAAAAAAATTTACATACAACAAACGGGTACTGAGATGGGATCAGCCATAGCTCCAACATATGCCAATTGCTACATGTATTTATATGAAAATACCAAGATATTGTCACAATTTAACATTCACCTGATAAGATATTTTAGATTTGTGAACAACATCTTTATTATTTGGTCTGGATCAGTGTCTTCCTTAGAGCAAATGGTCAATACACTGAAAACACAAGACTCTCCTATTCAGTTGGGTCTCACCAATGATATGAACATAATACAATTCCTAAATGTTGAGGTACATTGTATTCAGAATGGAATCGGATACACATTGTACAAAAAAACATCTGACCGTAACACCCTACTTCATGCAAACAGTTTTCATCCATCACCTTTAAAGAAAGCTCTTCCAATTTCACAATTCATCAGAGTCTTGAGGAATAACTCAGATGACAACAACAGGGTTGTACAGATGGAAGTGATGACACAATCAGTCTTAGAGCACGGTTACTCTAAAACAACTTTACAACAAGCTGTGGAAAGAGCAAACAAAATTTACAATAAACAGACAACTGGTGCAGGATTAACATAATCTGAGAATCCAAGAATGACAATACCTTTTTTGTTTCAGTCGTCAAGTGACAACATTTCTCAAGCCATCAAGAAAAGATGGGATTTACTTTCCACAGATCATACATTAAATGCAAATGTTACACAACCTCCCCGGATTGCCTTTAAACAGAATAGAAACTTGAGAGATAACTTGGTGAAAAGCGACAATTCAGACCAATACATTAGTAAGAGCTCTGTCAACAAGAAAGGTTGATTTAAATGCACAGGTTGTGTAACCTGAGGGTGTATGTGGACAGGTCCCTCATTCGCACATCCACATTCAGGAAAAAGATTTAATATTCAACACCGGATTACATGCCTCACGGATTATGTCATTTATCTGATCTCATTTCCCTGAGGACTTTATTTTGTAGGAAAAACAGGTTTGACTCTCCATGAGAGGATTCATGGTGAAAGATTGGGTATTATGACAGCTTACAGAGATGGGAAGACGGATAAACTAGTGGCGAAACATTTTTTGGAGCCAAATCATAGACTCCATACACTTACAGTCAAGGCGATTGACAATATACCACCCCTACTGAGGCGTGGTGATCGGTCCAGACTGTTATTACAATGGGAAACCTTCTGGATAAAAACTTTGAATACGGCACATCCTAAAGGATTCATCTCTTAGTGCTCAATAAGTTATGGATATAATAGCGGTCAGGTGCTATATGAATTTAGCATTTTGATTTAGAACCTTTTTAAATAATTGCCAACATCTAATTTTGTAAATCTTGAAGTTGCTCACAATAGTGATTACTGGTATATGTTTTATTATTCATGTCGATAGGATTTTGGTCCACAGACATGACTACTCTGCTTACTTTTTGTATTATTGTTGGATAACTCTGTTTTTTGCCCCTCCTTATTTAAACTGATTGGGGGGGCATTGATATGCCTTAGAATACATTATGTGTATTATAATTTGAATGCATCACTTATGTCTTTATATACTGAGGTCTTTTCTAAATGTCTCGCTTCTATTCACTCTATTACTTACACACTTGTTCACAGGTTCTTCACATCACACATGTTTTTGCTTGTATCCTTTTTACACATTTTGTCACTTTATCTCTCTCTCTCTTTCTCTCTCTCTCTCTCTCTCTCTAGATTATATTTACAGCTTGGCTGGGAACTCACTCTTGGACGTTTCTAGTGGTTTGCTAGTCATCTGTGTGGTTATCCCATGGTTCCCACACCTTTGTGAAAGCTTTCATGGTTCAAATTTCCAATTTCTAAACCGCCATATTACCTAATCCCTAAACAAACAATTAACTTGTGTAATAGATGAGTGTAACGGGTCCCCTATATTCCGGTTGAGTATATCCGTTATAATTCTCCCAACTCCCAAGTAAATCAGTGATCAGAGCCCTTGGTTAACCAAACATCAGCCAAGACTTGATGAAGGGTACAAAAGGAATATCTTTTTTTTTTTCAATGTGTTTTATTTTGAGCATATTTTTCATCATCGTATAAAACAGAATACGAGGTATATCAAGGGGTACAGAAGAGAAAAGGGGAAGAGGGGGGGGGGAAAAAGCAGCTTGTATAGGTTCCCGCATATCATTCAGTACATTACAATGTAATACAATGTGGTACAATTAACAATTGCGAATGTCTAATAATTCGTGGTAAGAGGACATTTGGCAATACAGTTAACATGTGATCCTCAAATTGCATATCAAAAGTGAACAAACATTTTAATGGTGAACATGTTTTTTTTTTTTGTTTTTTTTTTTTAAAGGTGAACATACATTAAAGCATTCTGGCTTAGTTGTAGGGAGGCAACTATCTGAGCCCATGGAGTAGGAGGAGGGGAAATCCGGCTGGGGTTAGTGGCCGGACCACGGCCCCCGGTGCGTCTCTCCCTCTCTATAGAGCACCCAATTCTGCCATCTAGATTTATACCTACTTTGGCTATTTGTCAGCCGGCTAGCCATACGTTCATAAGCATGGAATGAGTCCAGCCTGCTGAGGATTTCTGACATTGTTGGTGTCAGTGGTGATTTCCATCTATGTGCGATGGCAGTTTTGGTAGCCATGAGGCAATGGATCGTGAAGGGGATTGCTTCCGTAGGTAGGGTATTTGGAAAAATATGTAGTAAAAAGCACTCTGGGGATTGGGGAATTCGCACGCCCAGAATTTTGTATAGAAGAGCGTGTATGTCCCGCCATAATGTGGTAATAGACGTACATGTCCAAAATATATGTAAGAGGGACCCTTCGCTATTGTGGCATCTCCAACAACTTGCGTCAGAGCCCGGGTAGATACGGGCCAATTTGGTGGGGACTAGATACCAACGCATTGTTAATTTACAGTATGTTTCCCATTGATTAAGGCTATGGGACGCCTGTTTGGTTAATCTTTGGGCGCGATGCCATAATTCATTAGAAAAAAGCTTTCCTAGGTCCGATTCCCATTTAGACATATACGATGGTTTGGACAGTTTGTCGTGTAGCAATAGAGTGTTGTAACATAGAGATAGTGCCTTAGTTTTTGGAAGCTTGCCCATGCATTTGTGGATGAAGGGCGGTGTAGGGTCGGGTTCCCTCAGGCTAATCCCGCTTTCCTGAATTATATTTTTTAATCTGAGATAGGAGAATAATTCCCGTGAAGGGATATGGAATTCCCTGATCAGGTCTGGGAAGGGCTTGATGCCTTCAGCGGACAGTAGGGAACGAACTTGGGTGATCCCCTGCTTAAGCCAGTTGTCTAGGTGTATGTTTGAGGTTTTTGTAGTCAGGGCTTGGAGTGGGGCAGCTAGGAGTAGGTCATTATTTCGTAAGAAGAGCGGTGTAGTTTGCTTCCAGTTATGAAAGAGCGCGACTGTGGTGGGCAACAAGGATGTGGCTTTGGGAAGTTTTGACCCTGCCCACAGGGATAGTGGGATTGAGCCATTAGGTGTGCAGGCGTTCTCCAATGCCAGCCATATTGGGGGAGAGGGACGCTCAAGGATCGCAAGGCCCTGGGCCAACAGGGACGCCTTATAGTAAAGGGATACATTGGGAACACCCAGTCCTCCTTTTGTGAATGGGCGCCATAGTGAGTTTTGCGCTATCCTGGGGGGTTTTCTCTTCCATATGTGAGCATTGATCATGGCCTGAAATTTCTTTAGGAGCGAGTTAGGGATTGTAATGGGAAGAGTGCGGAATAGGTATAAAATGTGTGGGAGGATCATCATTTTTACAGTGTGGATACGTCCTAACCAGGAGATCTCCTTCTCCTCCCAGGACTCAAGGAGTTGCTCTAATTTGTGAATGAGTGGCAGGTGGTTTTCATGTGTTATTGCTGAGAGCCTCGTTGGCAATTTGATACCCAGATATGAGATGGAGGAGTTCCGCCACTCAAACGGGTATAGTGTTTTTAGAGGGTTTAGAGAGGTGTGTGGCAGTCCCAATGCCATCGCTTGTGTTTTTTTGGCGTTGTTTTTATAGAACGAGACCTTACCGTAATTTTCCAGCAAAGTTAGTAAATTTGGTAAGGATTTTACTGGGCGTGATAGGAAAAGAAGGACATCATCAGCGAATAGGGCTATTTTTTGAGTCCCAATGGGGGTAGATAGGCCTTCGATCGAGTTGTCACTCTTGATATGTCTAACCAGTGGTTCCATGCATATTATAAAGATTAACGGGGAGAGGGGACAACCCTGTCTGGAGCCATTCGTTATTTGGAAAGGTTGAGATAGGAACCCTGAATTGAATACTTTGGCTGCTGGATTGGAGTATAGGGCCATAATACCTTTCAGGAAGTCTTGTGGTATGCCCACTGCAGTTAGGACAGCCCTCATGTAAGACCAATTAAGGCGGTCGAATGCTTTTTCCGCATCTAGAGCTAGTAAAATGCCGCTTTGGTTGGTTTTTTGGGCCCATGAGATGAGGTTCAGAAAGTGTCGGGTGTTATCCCCCGGTTGTCTATGCGGAACAAATCCTGCCTGTTCTGGGGAGACCAGGTCCCTCAGGAGGGGTTGGAGGCGATTGGCTAGTAATTTGGCAAAAAGTTTAATGTCTGCGTTCAACAAGGAGATTGGTCTCAGGTTGGCGCATTCTGTGGGCGGTTTGCCGGGCTTAGGAAGTGTAACGATATGGGCTAGCAACATTTCCTTCGGTATTGTCCCTGAGTCCCTGAAGGAGTTGAAGAGGATTGTGAGGTATGGAGTGAGCTGTGGCTCAAATGTGGAGTAAAAGTGGTTGGAGAACCCGTCTGGGCCCGGTGCTTTATGTTTGGGTAATTTGCGAATTGCATTTCGTATTTCTTCCTCTGTGAATTTGGCTGACAGGGTTGCGCGTTGCTGTGCCGATAGGTGCGGCAGCTCTGCTCCTGTCAAAAAGGTGGCTATTTCTGGGTCTAATGGCTGGTGTAAAGTACTATCCTGTGCGAGGTTATATAGTCCCTTGTAGAAGTTAGCTAGTTCGTCTACTATATCTTGTGGGTTGAATAGCTTTGACCCAGTGGACGAGGTCATATATGGGAGTTTAGATTGTATGTATCGGGATTTTAGTCGTTTTGCGAGTAGTTTGCCTGCCTTGTTCCCATGCATGTAATAGGTGAGCTTTAATTTGCGGAGCTGTCGTTCCACACTTATCAGGGATAGATCAAGTATTTTGTCCCTTAATTTTTCGATAGTGCGGGATAGATTTTTAGTTGGTTTGAGTTTGTTAATTTGTTCTAAGGATTTAAGTTGAGAAAGTAGGTTATCTGACTCAGTGTGGGTTTTCTTTTTGTTTATTGCGCCTGCCTGAATCAATAGGCCTCTTATCACGGCTTTTAGGGCCAGCCATTTAGTGTCTATGCGAGTGTTGTCGGCAAGGTGAGTCTCCAAAAAAGATAATATGTTATCCCGAATTTTTGCAGCCGTGGTCTCGTTGTCTAGGAGGGATTCGTTTAAGCGCCAGGCACTGCGCCCCCGTGACGGGAACAAGGCCCTAAAAGTAGTGGTTACCGGCGCGTGGTCGGACCATGTCCGGTCACCTATTTGCACTTCTATTATATTGGGTACCGTATTTTTATCTACCCAGCACATATCTATACGAGAGTATGTGTGATGGACTCGTGAGAAATATGTGTAGTTTCGTTCTTTCGGATAAAGGGTACGCCACGTATCGTAAAGGTCGTGCCTGTGGAGCAGCGTGCTAAGGGTTGCGCTCATTGTGTTAGCAAGTTGGAGAGGTTGTTTGTTTGCTATTCGCTTAATGTCTAAGTCGGGGTCTAGCGTGCAATTGAGATCGCCACAGATAATAGTATGCCCCACACGGATAGTAGAGATTTTATTTAATGCTCTTCTAATGAAGGAAATTTGGGAGTTGTTGGGTGCATATATGGAAGCGATCGTAAGTTGCATTCCATTCAAA